CACACTTACCGTGTTATTTTTTAGCGAAAGCTTTTTGGTACCACAGACAGTCTGGAAAATCCGATCAATATTCGGAATAGATCACTAAATTTCTTCCTGTCTTATGGTTCGATCTCACGTGCCTCAAATCAACTAAACATGAAAATCTGTTTATTCTCACTGACACATCAAAGGTTAACGCTGACAGTTTACTCTGTTTTTAGGTCACTAATTTGGCATCTAATATTTCAACTTCAGTCAGTCCAAAATATTGAGAGGTCATCGTTCATTGTATAGTGGTTAACTATCCTACTTACATGACTGAACGCTACAGACCGTGGCTTTCCACCAAGACTCGAAGCAAATAACTAACGATCAAGCGATGCTTATTTGAATGGGGGTTTTGTGGAGACATTTTGTTTTGATAACTGTTTCAGTGAGATCTCCACCATCACATCTTCAAACAGCATTCATCTGAAAATAGTTTATGCAAAGAACAACTTCTCAGAAATAATATTACATTCTAGTTTAATAACTCGTGGTATAATAATATTGATCCAATGTAACTCATGATATATCAATATCTTTGCATTAAAGTAAATGTGATTTTCTCCTGAGTGGTCGTAAGAAAATTTTTAACCTCTGTATGTGTTTTCAGTATAGTTTGAAAGAGAGTTAAACACTCACTGTCACAACTATACGCTTTACCACTGTACCCTAAATTCTGTTCAGCATGTCCAACTTGAAAATTAAATCATCTGTAACACTTATAAAACAATATCTCTTTGAGAATACTTTAAACAATATCTCCCAGTTAAGACAGTCAATATAGATACCCAAAAATAGTAGCTAAATTATCATCTCTCTCTTTATACTAATACAAAAGATTTAACTATACATTTTACCAGTTTAGTGGTTGTGGAGATTGTTAAGCTTTTGATTGAGATCACGAACCGATTGATGTTACATTTTACAATCAAGTAAAGAAATAATAATTATCATGATCATTAAAGATGACTGACATGATTTCTTCCAATTCCATTATTTGTACCACAAATGTAGTTCATTTAATAAAGTCTCTTAGTTTACAATACTTGCTATTATCCAATTTGTTCTACTCTTTTGAGATCTCGTCAACAACTTTTTTTGTAATCATATTATTTATTGTAAACATTTTAAATAGACGCGTAAAAATATAATAAAAATCAATAATATATATTGACTAATTAAATGATTGACATAAATTGAAAATGAGTACATTGATTCAATATTTTAAATGATGAATGAATGAATGAATGAATGAAAATTTTACATAAATCATGTTTTTATTGTTGTTTATTTACGTCCAATATTATGGCTGCCAATTTTTTTTAAAAAATGATTCCGTCTAGTACTTATCTTTCTATCATTTAAAGCCTTGTAACTAATTGAGGGAATAAAAATATTTCGAATTTAATTCGATTGTTAGTTGATATGTGAGTGACTTTTAAATACTAAAACCCATTCAACTATTCTCTAGACTAGTGTACTGAATCATGACTGCCAACATCTTATTCAACAGATAAACTATTTATTATTAGTCATAAGAGTTTTTATTTTCCCTCTATTGACTATCAGGACTGTATTTGATTAACATTCGTTAATATACATGCTCATTGATGCGATGCGATGCGATGCAATTCAGTTGATGTGTCCTGTCTGAACAGCATAAAATACATGTCCTGGATCCCACTATATACACTATTGTTTTTTAAATATCAATAAATTTTTCAATTTAATAAAGACTTCGCAGAAAGTACATACATGCTATTTGTTTGGATCTCTATCAGACAAATGTATTTATCTACTTGGGTGATTTCTGAAGAAAAAAAAGCAAATTTTGAGAAGATTCCTAATTTGCTAACTGGTGTAAGTGGAAGGAAAACTGACTAAATAGATTTGTAGTAGTGAAGTGGTTAAACTACGTTGGAATAAATGTTTTGATATAGCAATATTTACTTCCTCATTACAGATGGAGTTTTGGCCATTACATGCTTCGATCTGTTTTGGGAGTCCTCACCTGGATGTATTTGAATATTAGTGAGAAGATGGGTTTCCATAGAAGGATAAAAACACCTATCCTGGCTTCTACTGCTTATCAATATCTAGAATCTTATCAAATAACTAACAAATGAAAGTTGACGATTTTTATTCATTGAATTACAACTAAATTGGCAACAGAAACTCCACTTATAACAAGTTCAGGAGAATCAACAACAACTTCACAAGGCCAGATGTTTTTTCCAAAGTTTAAAAAAGTGAAAAATCTATAAAGTTCTTTTTGGATTTTAGTTATGGATAGATAAGATAACTGTATAACGATAATATCTTGATATTGAGTGAACCATTGCACTGCCTATCTGAGGATTCCTTCCTTTAAAATTATAGTTCATCGCAAAATAAGCTTGATAGTTATGAATGAAAACTGAAATAACGTATAGTGAATTTGAATCAAGGAACTAAATATAGATTGCACCATACATTTTAATGAAACAATTAAAATCCCTGAACCTAATTCATATTTACTGGAATTCATTTGCTATAACATACTTTCGAACAAAAACCTGTGTGTATATGTGGTGTTTGAATTAACTAATGATTCTTTTGTACTTGTTGAATGCTCGATTTCGAATTCTAAATACAGTACATTCGTTGTGCCTGTGTCTTCTTAATTCAATTGCGTTAATCCTGGAATTCCTAATTCATACTATAATTAGAATACTATATTGGCGTCGCGATGGAGCCTGCAATGGAAAAGTTATATATTCATTCAACTTCAGAAGCTTTTGAAGATTACTTTGAAAGGTTCGAAATCTGGGCTATGACCAAGGAAGATGATGAGGATGTTAATATTGTGGCACACTTCCTCACATTCATTGGAAAAGAAGCATACAGCTTATTAAGAACTCTGGCTATGTCGGAAAAACCCATTTCGCTTTCTTATACAGCTCTCAAGGATCTACTGCTAGACTATGCTCAGTATACAAAGTTCAAATGTCGTAAAGGAGGAAGATTTCGTAAAATGATTCATGAGGATATAAAAAAGTCCACTACATTACTACGTCATCTCAACCTAGTGCATACTCAAGGTTATGCAGACAATTCATTGAATTTGGATGCAGTTCACGAGGATGGGGACAAGTTTGGTCAGTGTTTGTCCTGTTGCAAGTTCCACTCTTCTAATTCATGTAAATTTCATAATTCTAAATGCTTCAAATGTCGTGATATTGGACAAGTTCAGTCAGTTTGTAATGCTAATGTTCATCTTACTGCAATTAATATTAAGTCTTGTAATTCTGATTCTACTGAGTCGAGTATTCATGATGATCAGTTATCTTTATCAACGATTTCAAAAGACAGTGCAGAGTCATATGGCAGTTCAGAGTTAAATGAAATCCAGAATTCTTGTGAGACAACATTTCCTAATCAACCGATTTATCAGAATTCTCATGCTATTGTACCAGGTATGACTTTTCCTAATGATTCACATATTTCTAATGAAATTACTTGCAATTCTGAGGAAAATATGTTAAATGAACCTAATCATGATCGAAAACCTGATGTGGTTTGGATAGATGCTGATTTTTCTAACGATCCTACGCTCTGCAACGACAGCCCTGATGAATTTCATGAGAATATTTCAGAAGAATCAAATCCTGATGTCATATCATATATTACCTATCCTCATAATGTATTTGATCTTCGTGAAAAACCTGCCCAATGCGAAGCACGAGTTCTAAGTGACCTCGAGTTTTATTATATTTCGGATGATTTCATATCAACTGCTGTTTACTCTTATCACAAAAACAGTTCTAATGTTTACTCTAAACAATGTGAGATATATGTTTTAAATGAAGCCACATTATTCATAACTTGGGAGTATAAAGATCCAACATTATTTCGTGGGGGGGGATAGTGTTGAAAAATCTATGGTTCGAATTCTAGATATTAATGATTTCATTACAAAACCGACATGCTGGTTGTATACAATTCCAGGTGAGTCTGTTCCGATTTCGTTTGTTAATTCCAATACTAATGAGCACTTTCTAGATACTACAAAGTTTTTATCTTATACAATGTCGGACAGACTCAGGATGAACTTAACAAGAAGACGTACAACCGATTACAAACACTTATACTTCTATTTAAGCTGTGGCGGATGTGGTGTTTGAATTAACTAATGATTCTTTTGTACTTGTTGAATGCTCGATTTCGAATTCTAAATACAGTACATTCGTTGTGCCTGTGTCTTCTTAATTCAATTGCGTTAATCCTGGAATTCCTAATTCATACTATAATTAGAATACTATAGTATATCATTAATTGTTACAACCATAGAATGACTAATCACAATCTAATTCAATGACAACCCACATAACTTGATAGAATTATCAGATTATTCGATTGACAATACTTAGGTATGATTCAAGCGTTCAACATCTTTTGTGCAGAGTTCGGGATAAACTGAACTGAATTTCATCTAACGCAACTTTATCTGTCACTGGATAAATGACTTATGCACTGTAAATTTACGTAACGTACTTTTATGAATGAAAAGGTTTGGTAGCGAACGTAACTGCAATCACAGACATCAAATATACTAAAGATTGGTCTAATTTACTACAAACATTAGAATGAAAAGTTCAGCTAACAGATAAATATTAACCTAATCAAGATATCCACTACATGTTTCACTAAAAGTAGCATGCACTCCACCTGAACACTACAATCACATTCATTTTTGTGATTTTGTATCACGATTTTCAGGTATGAAAAATAAATGATCCGCCCACAAAATAATTAACCAATAACTGAAATGCATATTTTTAAGCTAGATCATATGACCTTGACCACTTCAAGGACAAATATTCACGTAATTGACACGCCCTAAATGCGTGACTGACAGCTGACTCAATTTTGATTGGCTAAATTAATTCATATTTAATATCCTTAGTTTGTCTATCCATTGGTCAGTTTAATTTCGTATGCAAGGGATGGGGCGTGCCAACTGATAAATAAACGTGGTTATGAGTTTGTATCAGTTCATCTAAAATACCACGCGAACTCTAGTCTTACTCATAATATGGGTATAGCCTACGAGTCTATATGCCTACCTGGTGCGACAGTGGATTCCGGATTCGATAAAGTTAGTTTTAAACTATTTCAAACAACATTGTATATTTGCTATAGTATTTATCTTTTTTTTTTACTAATTATGCGAGGTTTGTTTTACAGATTAATGAATTGCAAGCTGCTGAAGTTTTGCTATCACTGGCCAAAGGTTCATGCTCGAACTGGTCAATATTTCCACAAAATAAATCATCAGTAACCCAAAATTTTTATTGTTCCGAATATCATCGAAATATGTTTAAAGAGTCAGTTATACAAAAAACAGAAGAAAATGAACCAAGGAGTAAATCTCAATCCTACTTAACATCATTAGATAGAAATTTACATCGGAATATAAAATTTAAACTTCATCGGATTAAATCTTTAACTAATAAGGAATCACAATCATCAATTAATTTCGATAAATTGCAAAAAGTTCCGGAAACTATTCCTCATCAAAATGTCAGTTCATTTAGCCCTATCATGAATACACCTAATTTACAAGTAAGTTATATTATGTATTAATATTTTTGTTATTATGAATAATATTTTAAGAATGAAACGTTAGAAGATGAAGTTGAACTTTTACAGGGTCTGAAACATCATTAACATAGCCTAATACTTCTAGTTAGTCTTTAGACTTGAATTTTATCATAGGTAGTATATATATACTGACTTCTCACCGCTTGAAGATGTTAGGTTAATGATGACATCATTGAAAAGTTTGGAAGAATCTCTTTCTGTTGTTGATATAATCTGTTTAAACACAATTTTATTTAGCTCTAAATCATAGAACAACAGTAAATCTATTCATGGAGGGATTATAATTTGTTGACAGGAACCAATCAAATCTAATGTTGCGCATATTGAATCCATTCATGTGAATGAATGGATGTTATTCATTTTTGGCATTATAGCGGATATCAGAATATAGTGAAAACCCAAAAGCCTAATTTTGATTCCTATTGCTAATTTTTAACCCTATTTCGAACTTAGTAAATTGTTCAAGTTTCTTATGGTCACTTTAATATCGCTCAAATGTTGTCCGTATACACCATTCTCACCGGTTATGTTTTTGCTAAGAACCTATTATTTACATTTCAATTTGGAGAAACGTTTTACCCAATTAGTGTGTGTCAACTAATTAAGGAACTGTAAATTGTTTCAAAGTTAAATTTTCCATTTTTTACTACAGACCACATTTACACAAGAGCCTACTGAAATCTACCTCTAAAGTTTATTACAATACTTAGTGCACTCTATGAAAACTAATTTTTTACAACTTATTTACATATTCTCAATTAAAATATCTCTCCCAAGGTATTTCTTATTTTGTAATGATTTAATTGGGTTGGGGATAAACTCCACGTTACCAAGTCATCTAAGTGTATCGTAGTCAGTAATTACGGTTATGTTTTCGTTAATTTAGCCACTCAATTGTAGATATTTTGGAATCATTTCTATTATAGAATTAGTTGGACGTATGACTTTTGCCAAGTTGTAATTTTTCTTCCATCATTACTGACTGCCCTACATTTGACACGTCCATAGCCTGATGGAGTGGTACTTTTGTCATAGAAAACTATATTTTCCATGTAAGCCAGCATAAAGGACAGAAAACGAAATACGCCCTCCATCACTGATTATGATAGTGGAAATAATAATTCCCGATTCATTTTGGTTGGTTGTTAGGTGCAAGGTCGAAATTGAGAACAAGAGTGGAATTTATCCTCACCCGTTAATTGCTTCCATTAGAAGTAGACTATGCCGCCGACCTTGGACGGCCCATCAACCAATCAGAGACAGTATTTGGTTGTAAAGCTAAGTGATTAAAATACAGTGGCTATACTGTTTTGTCATGAATGATATGATGTCGTTACACGCTGAATTATTTATTAAATTAAATGAGAAAGAGTTATGTATACGAATAAGGCCTATAAGTTATGGTTAAGATTAATAATTACGGTAAGCGTACCCATTGATCAGTGTAAAACTATAAGTACTTTCTCGTCTAAATCCAAAGAATCACTGAATTTCGTCCCTCGAGTTCTCTATTTTTTCATGTTGCTGTGTGTAAAGAATATGGACGACTTGAAACTATATTTTAGCCAGCGAGAATACAAATTCTAGTTATTAAATTACTTATAAAAAAAGTAATATGTTGCACATATTTTATATGAATAATGAACACTTATGTATGAATTGTTAGGGTTTTTATCACTAACTAAAATCACCTATAGTGTAAAGATAAATTTCGGACCGAAATTTGATTAGTTCGTCCCGGTACTTTACTTCTGCCATCATGTTTACCTGTACTAGGCGTATCAGTAGCTAAACATTAGTAAATTATACTCCTGTACTTATCTTTTAGTTAGTTTAAAGCTATCCTTCATGGCTCTTAGAATTTCCCTCAAAATAACAAAGCCACTAAGTCAGATAGGTTTGGAAGTATATTCTACCTGTTTATCTGAGTACTACAGAACTTTTAATATTGACTTTAATAGGAATCCATAGTTCTTATTCTTCAATTTTACTTATTATTCTTGAGCCGACTTCTGTCTGTTTTCAAAAGATGTTAAATCACGAACCGATCTTAGTTAGGCCATCGTTGAAAACCTAGAAGCACCAGACAAACTTTTCGTCTAGCTATACGATATTTCAGTAGTGTGCCTCCACATCCCTGGATCCGGAATCGAAACCACAACCTTCTGTCTCGCGCGCGAATGCTTAACTTCTAGACTATTAGGCTGCCATCCAACGCCGTTATTGTTTGACTCCGATCTCATCACGATAGTACGCTACCATCTTCCATTGCTTGTGGTGAATAACTGTCCCACATTCGACACGACTGAACTCCACTGGTTATGATTTCTCACTAGAACCTCAGGAAATCCATCTAGAAGCCAATCACTTTTGGGGATGTGGTTATTATCAGTATAGGGTTTTGTGAAGACTAGAATCTTCATAGATTTTAAATCATCAACTGATCTCTATGTTTGGCTTTTTAGTATTACTGTTAATATTATGATTTAAACCGTTTTATTTCTACTATTTTATCTCCAATCGTTACACTGACGAGAATTATTTCAGCTTATTCAAGCTTACGTTTATTAAAAAATTCTACGTGTTTTTTTACTGATTAACTAACTGGCTATTGGTCTGAAAATAAATTGTAGTCCATTGAATTGTTAGGGTAGATTCTATGTAATAAAGAGATAGAACTCTGATTTAATTTGTAGTAGTTTGGATTGTCCCGTTGTTGGTGTTTTGACTTGAATTTGATCAACCTTAGTTAGCATACGTGCATCCTGTGCAGATTGCTTCATTATAGCCATCATGGTATAGGTTTACGTAGAATGGATGAAATGTAGCCAGCAGTGGAATCTAGAACTTATATTTCGTCCTGTTTGCGACTCGTCAGATCGATGTACCTGCATCCTGGATCCTAGTCTGATACCCTTCGCTCGAGACCCCAACGCATTATCCACTTAGATTCTGAGTCTCAAACACTGTAGGTGATTGACTATCTGCAGCGAATGGTTCCGGGTTCAAATCTCAGAGTAGACATAAACTCTGGGACGCGAGTGCATCCAGATGACGAATCCCGAAATAGGACAACACATACGTCCCAAATTCCACTGGTGAACACACTCCATCTATTCTATGTAAACAAAACTCTTGTTATACCTTGCTGTTGAATCTCTATCATGAGTTACTGACCCTGTTGTAAACCTTCTTACGCTTGTTACCCCTCGTGGAGAAGCATAGGTCGCCCACTAGCACTCTCCATCCAACCCTATTCTGAGCAATCCTTTTCTTATATGCTTCTAATTCTCTGCGTAGTGTCCCTTGACCTTTCTCTTTTCTGTTTGCCATCAGGATTCTAAGTTGGCGCTCGCTTCGTGATGCGGTTTGATGATTTCCTCAATGTGTATCCTATCCACTTCCAACGTCTTTTCCTAATTTTCTCCTTAGCTGGAAGCTGGTTTCTTATCTCCCATAGTAGACTGTTGCTCATGGTATTCGGCCAAAAATCATTGAGTATCGTGCGTAGACAATTGTTTATAAATACTTGTGCCTTTTTGATGATGGTTGTAGTAGTTCTCCAAGTTTCAGCTGCGTAAAGTAGAAATCACTGTCTTGACGTTCGTATTGAAGATTGTGACTTTTATATTGATTGAGAGTGGTTTTGAGTTGTAGATGTTCTTCAATTGTAGGAATGCGGCCCTTGCTTTGCCAATCTTCGCTTTTACATCTGCATCAGATCCTCCACGTTCATCGATGATGCTACCTAGATACGTGAAACTTTCCACCTCTTCTAGAGTTTCGCCATCAAGTGTGATTGCGTTGGTGTTCTCTGTGTTGTATTTGAAGATCTAGCTTTTTATTGAGGCCTACTGATGCAGAGGCTGTTGCTACACTAGTTGTCTTCATCTGCATTGGTTGGTGTGTATAGGATAGAAGAGCCAGGTCATCTGCGAAGTCCAAATCATCTAATTGATCAACAGCTGTCCATTGTATTCCGTGTTCCCCCTGAGACGTGGAGGTCTTCATAATCCAGTCAACAACCAGAAGAAAGATGAGGGCGGAGAGTAGTCAGCCTTGTCTGACTCCGGTCTTTACTTAGAATGCATATGTCAGCCGGCCTTCATGTCCGGCCGCTCAGTATATTCCATCTTATGACGTTGGCGATCTTCTCGGGTACACTCAATTATCAGAAACTCCATAAAGTTCTCCTATCCACACTGTCAAACGCCTTCACACAGTTAGTGAAGTTGATGTATAGTGACGACCTCCATTCAGTTGATTGCGTAACAATGATACATAGTATCGCGCACTGGTATATGCACGACCGATCCGTTCGAAATCTGAACTGTCAATCTGGAAGCTTGGCACCTACCATGTCTCTCCTGTGGTTGAACAACACTCTGTTGAAAACGTTTTCTGGTACTGATAGTAGTGTGATGCCTATGCAACTCTCACACTCGCTTAGATCTCACTTTTTGTATCTTCATGAGGTATCGTTCTTTCCAGTCTGTCAGCACTTGTTCATCCTCCTTAATCTTCCTGAATAGAGTGTGAAACATATTTGCAGTTGTTTCCATGTCTGACTTCAGCTGATATATTGTCAGGTCCTGCTGCTTTCTCACTGTTGATTTGTCTGATGGCCATCCTGATTTCTTCGATCGTTGGTGGAGTGACGTTTATATGATATTCTGTGTGTGTTGTTTCGATATCCGGTGGATTCAATGTAGCTGGTCTATTCAAGATTTCCTTAAAGTATTCTACCCATCTGTTCCTCTGTTCTTGAACCTCGGTGATTGTCTTGCCTTCTTTGTCCTTGACCGGTCTCTCTGGTTTACCATATTTCCCTACTAGTTTATTCGTTGCTGTCTTATATTTCCTTCTCTTGATGCTTTTTCTTCGTATTTCTACTTGTCAGCTCTAATGTTCCTCTTCACACTTGTTTGTTTCTGTGTATTCGGGTTGTGTCATGGCTTTCTCTACCCTTATTGAACTGTTGTTAATTGTTGTCTTCTTATTCTTTCTTTCTTGAATCTTGTGCAGGGTTTCCGTAGAGATCCATTCGTTGTGGTGATGCTTCTTGAGGCCCAGAACCTCTTGACACGTTGAAGTTAATGCTTCTTTGATACCTTTCCAGTTGTCCTCCATAGTAGTTTCTTCTTCATTCAGTAGATCCTGCAAGGCTTGGAACCTGTTGTTGAGAGCTATCTTGTATTCGTTGAATTTGTTAGTACCTCGAAGGAAATCTGTATTGAACCTTTGTAGTGCTGTTTGTCCAGTTGTCCAGTTCTTCTTTAGCTTCAGTTTTAAATTGGCCACAACTAGGTGGTGATCTGAAGCTACGTCAGTTCCTCTCTTGGTTCTCACATCTTCCATTGTCCTTCGGAACTTCTTATTGATGAGAATATGATCCATCTTTTTGTCTGTGGTGTGGTCCGGTGAGATCCATGTGGCTTTGTGTATAAGTTTACATGGGAATATTGTGCCGCCTATGACCGATTTGTTGAATGTACATAGATTTGCGAACCTCTCACCATTCTCATTTCTCTCTCGCATTCCATGTCGTCCCATGATATCCTCATATCCGGTGTTGTATATTCCGACTTTGGCGGTTAGGTCTCCCATCATTATGGTCAGGTCCTTTCCTGGACACTTCTCTACGATCGAATGCAGCCTCTCATAAAACTGATCTTCATCGTCGTCATTGATATTATCGGCAGGCACATAACAGTGGAAAACATTCATTGTGATTCTCTCCTTCGTTTTGGAGAATGTTTTAATGATTCTGGATCAATGAAATTCTCATCCTATAAGTGCATTTCGTGCTTTTTTGGACAGCATCAGAGCGACTACCTGAGTGTATGACTGGAGTGCAACAGCATCTCTCCCGTATCTAGCCTTTGCTATCCAGCTTGAGTCCAATGGGTTTCACTGATTCCCACTACTGCCAATTTGTATCTCATCATTTCCGTTGCTATTTGACTGGTCCTCCCGGTCTCCGACATAGTCCGGACGTTCCGTGTATCTATATTAATTGTTGCTCTGGTTGTTAGAAGGTATATCGACCTCGTGACTTCCGAAGAATCTTGGCTTTCACCCAGAGACATAATAATTCTTCCTTCAACTCGTAGAACAGAGTTTAAATGATTTATCCTGGTTGGTGTTTTTTAACAAGATTCTTTTCTACGGGATGGGGTTTCCGACCCTCCTCTTTTACCTGGACTTGCGACTGGCAGTAACTCTAGAAGAGCAACAGGTGGAGTGGCAAACCCTCTACGTTTAAAAATTATTAATGCTCTTCAGTTAGACGAAATCTTAAATATCTGTTTACCAATAGAACTTTTGAACATTGTGTTATAATATGCAATCAAACTTCAACAGTCAATTTTTTCTTCATTCAACCCATTGGTAGTCATTATCATTTTAAATAATAATCGAATATAACTGTATATACTTCAATGTTTATGTATTTTCCCCTTGAACTTTTATAAAATACTCTTAGATATCAAATCCTTCTTTAGAAACATCAAGCAATGAACAGGTATCTTTTTACAATAAACAATCTTCTTTGAATAATTTAAACACTAATTGGTCAAATAATCTACCTATTAACACTGGTGAATCTCACCTTCTAACTAAGTCATTTCAACAAATCGATGAAAATTCTTCTGATTCTAAGCATATTCCATTGACTAATCAAACAAATCAATGTACTACTGATCAACAATCTGATAACCGAGTTACTTTTACTCTTTGGAATGATTGTGAACTTTCTTCTACAGCTTCTAATTCTTTCAACTGTGAAAATGATAATCACAAAAGTGTTGAACAACAATACATTTTGGATCGATTACTTCATACCAACTCTGATCTTACAACATTACTGCATTCATCATTATCGTCATCAACGACAACAAATGATACATTTCGATCATCTAATTCAGATTCACAGCTTTTACGGTATGATTTAAATGATTTTCCTCAGTGTACACTAACTTATTATTATGATCAAATGGTTGGTAGACAACCTATCGATGAAACAATAACATCAGTAAGTTTTTTTACGTCTTTCTTCTTTATTTTTTCCTATGAGAAATGATAATTCCTAAACGTTTTTAGAAAGCGTTGATAGGGTTAAAGGAAAATCAAGTTTTTGACTAGAATTTAAACTATCAATATCATACAAAACTTGATGGATATTGGGTTCAAATCTGTATAAATTAAGGAGTATGTAATTGTTAGCAGGATAGATTTCTATCTATCTTTGGTTAGCCTCAAATTGGAATACGTTAACAGGTTCATTTTCAAATCAATCATCCCTAGTAGACTAACCATGTTGTAATACGTTTCTATATTAACTGTAATTAATTAACTATTCTATCTTTGTCACCTGGGTTATTGGAATAAATTTTGCCAGCTTTTAATTCTCATGTTAATTTGCGTAAAGTTCAGTTAATTTTTGTGTTCAAGAAATGCATGATAGTAGAAAAACATAATCGGTATAGTAAAAGGCTTTTAAATAAAACCATAACAACAGTTCAATACTTATTTGATCTTCATTTGATAATCAGCACTATCCTCGGACCGACTGCTTTAGTTTCCTAATAGCTAAGCAGTTATAAATTAAACTCTAAAGCAATTTTAGAATTCAATTATCCAATGTGTAAAGATTAGTCTTCAAATCATGACTATTTACCCACTTTTTCATACTAAAATTGATTTCATCCAATATATCCTGTGTATAATAAACGTAATACTTTGAGCTACTATCAATATTTTTGTCAGTCTTCAGCACATCAGTGAATTAATTCAGTTGATGTGGATAACACTACTTCAACTAGTCGATGAATTTTTTTTTCTTTACGTACATTTCGATATGACTCTTCTACATTTCTTAACTTGATATTCCAATTATTTAATCTGAGCGCTTGAAATTTGTAGTATTTCAAGTTGTGATCTACATGGTTGTAATTGTTTGTCATTTGTATCTCATCATCACTCCTATTTAGACCATTTACGTAATCAGTGTTTTTGTGACACTACTACTACTACATAATAAGTAGTATACGCTCCCTATCATAAAAGTGTATGGAATGGAGATATTATTTTATAACTTCAAATAAATGCACCCAGCGTTTAATTCAGTATCGAAACTACCGTAATGTCAGCTATGTTCAGGTTTGATTGATGTAAGGGTTTACGTTCAAAATAACTTGAAAACAATGAAAAATATATTAGTTAGATGTTATTAAGGATGATAATGATGGTAATGTAACTGTTCAGACAACAAATAAGTAGTATCTATCACCATTCACCGTCATGTGGTCAAGCCGGCCCACTAAACTATTGACTTACTTTGTGGTTCATTTGTTCGTATACAGTAAATAGGTGTTTCTAAAGTTACAAATAATCTTGGGAAGTTTTAAGCTTTTAAGAAATACGCTGAACTTGGTAATCGAATTAATAAATTCTTTATTCTGAAAATAAATTACAGAATGCATATCGATTTACAACCACGACCAGGTTGATATAGACAACAATGTTACATGTCAAGGACAGATAAATGAATTTAGATTGTTTAAGATACAGTTGTACGTTCTTTACATAGAGGCATCAATTGGGAATCATTAATTTTTTCTAGAGGAACTTTTTGATGATGTATGAATAGTGTATCTAATCTCATTCCCGGTGCTATTGTAGGGTAATTGTAATAATCTAAAACTTGGGTAAAGAAAGCGGGATCAGAGAGCATAGAACAATAACAAAGATAATTGCTATGATAGGTCTACTATTATACATGTGTACCAGGATGTTTTATGATCTACTGTTCAGGATAATTAGTAATTAAATTAGTTAAGTTTGTTAAAAACAATTTAGGTGTAAAATATCTTCATGTAGAGAAGTTAATGAGTGAGTACAATAATAATGATAATAACGATACAACATTTAATGTTCCTATGATTTCACTAATAAAACGCAATATATTTAAAGATGTAAGCACATTTATGGAAGTTTAAGAGGAGCAACAAACATTGACACAACAAACAAACGATTTAGAGTAATTTTATTTCATGATCATCATTGTGGTAAATTATTCCAGAGTCTCAAACGTTCAGCGGTAAAAGAATTCATATAGAAATATTCCTAATAAAACTGCTTCATACACGATAAAGATTTTCGGATGCACTAGTGGACGTAAAAGATAATAAATTGAATATCTTGAAGATAAATATAAGATTTCCACTTCTAGAAAATGTTGAGTCCAAGTTTATCCATCTGAATGTTTAATTTAAGGTACAATCACTTCCAGGAATCGAAATCTCAGATTGGCTTTGAACTAAATCCAACTTTAATTTATCTTTGTATAAAAGATAAACACTTAGGAATGAAAGTTCAGTATTTTATAATTAGTCGGACATATACTTTGTACATTAAATTACGTAATCAGTCATTATTTATGTTACGAATTATGGAACACAGAAGTCGTTGAGACTCGGAAGTCTGCTTAGCGGTCTGTTCTGAGAAAGACTAATTGTGAAAATACTTGAGTCTTAAATCTACCAATGTATGAAATTTGGGCAATGCCATATCATTTATGGTAAAGTCTAGGTTGATAAAATGATTACCAAAGCAAATCCATTTATAATTAGCAGTTTTAAGTTTCATCTTTCATTTTGAGCATTACTTACATTGAGAGCTTTACCAACCAGATTAAGAAAACGTTGAATGAATTGCTTTCTAAGTATTTTTCAAGATTCTCGAAAATTTCTCAAACAATTGTAGATAACTCTTAACATGTTCAGTATTACTGATAATTTTCAATTGTTGATGAAATCGTCAAAAAAAACTATTTTTTGTATTTTAGAGAAACCGTGACAGTTATTTATCAGTTATTTCCAGCCCACCATGTACTGAACAATATTGTACTAATGTGAACCAAAATTTCACTCCAACTGTAATTAATGATAATACATCGAGTATCAAATTACAAAATACAACAACTGATTTAATATTTTCAAATGTGAACTGTTCAACTGTTTCATATTGTACTATGATGACATCACCCATTACTAATACTAATAATACAATCATTACCAATCTTACTGCCCCAGTGAGTAGTAATACTAGTAATCCTAATAATAATAATAATGGCTCAGAAAGAGTGAAATCTTATCGATGCAACTTTGATGGTTGCACAAAAGCTTATTTCAAAAGTTCTCATCTTAAAGCTCATATCCGTGTTCATACAGGTAAGAGAGCTTCTAAAAATCTAATCGATTTTACATACTGTCGATATTCAGGTTTAAAAACTTCATTAATTTTTCGCAAGTTTATTAATAAAATTAAAAACTTATATATACCTAGGGTCAGTCGTGCCAGAACAAATGATATTAGTGTTTTGTTTCACTGACTTCATATCTTAATGTTTAGTAGTGACTCATGAAGAATCCCTCTGTCTAATTCTCCAGCTTGTCAAATTAGAACAACAAGAAAACCATCAAATTTACTCTGAGCATTGACTTAAAAATTCACCTGATCGTATACATGAATTAAATGATCAAGACGCACCATACATAAATACGAAAATACACGTAACCAACTGGAACATCTTAAGGTTCAAATTTTAAACAATAAGCTTTTAATTCATTTACAATAATTTGAGAACATAATAGGACATAACTATAGTTAGTGATGCAAAAATGGGAGCTCGTAAAAAGATATCAGTTAGCCTCATCATAACAAAAAACACAGAATATCTGTCTCATCCCATTTTTGCACTCACTAACATTCAACACTTAAGCCTCCACTTTGGTTCAAATCTAATGACATTCTATTTTGATTGCAAGTTCGATACTATAAAGTCCGTGAGTAGAAAATATATATTTCACACTTTCCAAATTCAGTCAATTCACGATATAAATCCAGTTATTCTCTTACATTATCAGTGAATAACGTCGTCATTATCAACTTATTTGACGATTCAAATAATCTCTTCTCATTAGAACTAAAAGAGAGTCTATGTATGTGATGAATATATATACCATTAAATTACTACATTCAGAGTATCATAGTAGATTATTAAAACTGAATTTAAAAGTAATGTTTGGTGACTGAACGTAGTAGATAGAAAATCCTGGATCTAGTTTTCATGCTAGCTGTCAATCGTCATCAAGGTGTATTTTCAATCTTGATGGATCTGACACTCCATATATAACTCAATCCCATGTCACACAGTATCTTAATCTGAGGCTAGACAGCCTGAATAGTTCAATTTACTCTAAGTAGTGTTCACATTTCAACTTAATCGATAGAATCCTGTCTGAGAAACATGAAACGGGCACTATTAAGATCAATTAGCTATAAGACCAGTCAATTTTTCGGTTCAGTTACGGATGTGCATAGTTCGAGTTAACTATTACTGCCCTCCACAAACCTATGATACTGAGTTTGAGTAATACGGGATAAATAAGTCATCTAAGATATTGGAATTAATTGATTGCGTGATATCGCTAACTTTCATTGTGTTTCATGTAAATTTATTTCGAGCAATAGTCTATCGTAAGGCCAAAAGATCAACAAAATTTACCATTCAAAGAATGCATGAATCCACTCATGATATATTAATAAATTCACATTAATTGTAATCCTTCCTTTAGTAAAAGTATAATATGTACTGACAACCTTAAGCCAACCAATCAGAATCAAAGTAACAGCTCATGTAATTTGCACAAAATTTAAGATGAAGTGGTGAATAACGTGTGTTATTATTAACGAAGTAATAATTTGCAATATTTGGTTTCACTAAACGCTTGAAATATAAAAAAACATGTACTACGCATCCGAAAAATGGATTTATGATTGTGCTTAAGACAAGTAACAGAGCAAACCTCCTCCTAAGACAGGTTGTATGTTAAAGTACTGGATGTGATCCAATACGTAGTCATCGACATAAATAACGTGTATGCTATTATTAACCAAGTAAAAGTTGGTAATATTTAATTTCTAAAATGTCTCAGATCAATAGAAATATTTATCGTACAACGATAAAGTCAATTTTAGATGGTACTTATACCAAACTATGTGACAGAACTCCTCCTAAGACAAATTGTATGTTAAAGGATTTGATGTGATTCAATACGCAGTCAAGAGTGTTTGGTTAAGCTAGATCATATTCTCCCATTCTCACTCCTACTCGAAATCTCGACCCGATGATTGTCACATTTACAAAAGGACGGTGGCAAAGTATTACATTCTAGCTGATATCATTTCCTGTTGAAAACACTGATTCTAATTAGTAAACCTAACTCAGAACTCTAATCTTCCTACATTATAACTGATGTCAGTTGGTGACGAAACGTCCATGGAGTGATAACCACGAATCACAACACTAACCCAAATCCTAATATGTGACTTTTTCACTGTACTACAAATGATAATTTGATATGCGAATGTTGGTTACTCAGATCCAAGCTATTATTTTATTGATATTTTATTGCTTTATCTTGTTAATTGTTTTATGACTGGTGAGCGTTTCCTTATTGAATGAAAAAAATTGTCGAACGTTGCCAGTATAGTACACTTTCACCTTTCTTTTTATTTAATCTTATCTAGGTGAAAAACCATATATTTGTGATTGGAATCATTGTAATCGAAAATTTGCACGTTCCGATGAATTATCCCGTCATCGTAGAGCACATACAGGTGAACGTAATTTTATTTGTCAACGTTGTCCACGACGATTTACACGTAGTGATCATCTTAGTAAACATTTACGGCGACATAATTCTCCAATGACATTAAAATAAATTTTTAAATAAGAAGTTAAATAAACTACTGACAAATCAATTTATATATATATATATACATATTTGATGATCTTATAGTTAAGTTTTTAGAAATCTCTATTGAACTCTTTCTCTTCTATTTCTTATTTCTTAATTAGGCATAAATTTATATATCATATTGCATTATATTGTCTATTACAGATTATTCAGAGATAATATTATTTATCATTTGTTTTAAACAGAATACGTCAATTCATTTAATATTGTATACAGTTTACCGATATGTACTTTTGTTTCTTGTTCTTGTTATATATCCTTCTTGTTTTTAAGTATGGGGAGGGTTGCAACAAAGAAAACAACTCTATATATGTATGTAGAAATATGTTTTCTTGTGTATATCTTAAAATTCATGAAAACTTTTCATTTTATAATCGAATTTATTACCAATTCTGAAATGAACTCATATGGATCATAGAAAAGACTTACGTTGTTTTGTTTTTGTTTGATTTCGTTTCCTTTTTTTTGTATCCATGTGTACGCCTTTGTACGATTTCATCATAATTTTATCTTATATTAATTTGTATATCGAAATTAAACGGTCACATACTATACTGCTTTCAAAATATATTTGTATTTTCCAATGATAAATCAAAGATTATGAAGCTGATTACTATTATTATTATTTTCCTATTTTTGTTACTGCTACTATTACTACCAGTAATAGGTTACATACTTTTCACCAGATATTTTTCTTTCTACGTTGTACCTTTTGTCGTGAGTTGCTACCATTATTCAGCTTAACTTATTCAGTATATGTCAGAAAAAAGTTTTTATTTACTAATTAGGTTCATACTCATTGAACAGTGATACTTATGTATTTCTTATTTCCTCTCTTTAATTCTTAATTTTTGATTGTTTTGAAATATAAAAAGAATTGCGACATAATATGAATGAGGTAAATTCATTATTAAAATATAAACCAGAGTGAAGTTAACTGTTTTAATTATCCATTAATGCTTTTCATTGACATGTCTAATAATTCAACACAATCTACTAACTAATCGTTTACTAGTTCCCTAAAATCTTCGATACTGAAATCCTGAATGAAGGATAAAAGGCGTAAAGTACGAGAAGAAGCTTTACTTCAAAGGTTAGTTCTCATGTGAACAGTCAGATCATTTATTAGATTCTAGAAACGTTCAGAAAACACTCTAAGATCTGTCCAGTCATGACAACTCGTCGTATTCTAATGGATAGACTGTTTGTCGATTTATTCTTAACTTACTTGATGAATCCTCATGAACTCCAAACATTTATAACACTGATTGCCTATATGAGTGAACGCAAAATAATAATCATAGTGTAGTGTTATTGATTTATTGATTACAAGTTTGTGGGCTGTACTTTGAATCACATGTTAATTGTGTGTAATGGCTAATGATATTGACGTGTAGCTCAAGATCGGTTAGGTGGAGATAGATTTCAACTATGTAATTTAGCTTTCACATCCGGTCATATTTTTTGTGTGTGTGTTCCTATTCATTAATGTAAAACGTCTATAAAACTAAATATGAGAAAGTTCTACGTAACTCTTAACGCAGTACAAGCTAGCCGTCATCATATTTTAAGTTTCGATCGGAACTCAAACAGTCCCTATATTGATTCGAACTGTTTCTAACTCTAATCAATAATTTAGAACTCTACCAGAAATAAACTTATTAACTCTGTGACTACATAACTCATGTAATCTATGGACTGAAGAGGGTTCCCATGTTCACAACCCTCCAATCTGAATAATTGAGAGCTAGATGAGTTATTGTAAGTACTTTTATTATTTGAACTGACGTGGCTATATAAGTAAATCACGGGACCACGAATAATGAAGTCCAATAGTTACATATCTGTTATAGCCCAAAGCCGCTAATCAGAAGCAACGAATTACCGATCGGACCAAGGACGCGTAAAACACGTGCGAGCAGCCTAGAGTCCTGATTGGTTCTGCTTTCCGCCTAGCCCAGCCAGTTAAGTCCAGAACACCAGTCTCAGCCTCTGCACTATGAATCCTTATATTTCAAACATATTGAGTTTATATACCAATCAAACAGACCACAACGTAGCATAAAATAGAAAATAACATTTGTACAAAATTTGGCCAAATGTGGCTGTGACAAATGTACATGGTCATAAGTTCATATTACTACATCAGCACGATAAGATAAATCTAGTAAGATGAGTAATAAAATAATTATAACAGCAACGGGAATTGAGAAAGATTAAACAGTATGCTTTGAGAAGATGGAGTGAAATAATATGTGCAAACTAATACTGAAGCTCGATCTAAAAAAATGGTAAGTGAAAGTATTTGTGTTATTTCCACCGATTCTGAGACATATTGCCCAATATATAAATAAAAATCTAGTGCCTAACACAAGGTCCAAATCTCTATGTGAGCATCAACACGAATAAAATATACCCAGTTAAATAATCCCAAATGAAATGAAAATACACCTCCTGGTGTGTGCGACTGACGTCAACAGATATAAGTAGTATGTATCATCAATTGAAAGTGGAATACCTAGCAGCAGAAAGTTGAGAAGCTCGAATAAAAGAAAAGAACGCGAACACAGAGTGATTGGTATGTAAATGAAATAAGAAATAGGTCTGAGACAATTGATGGATATTTTGCAATTTAAGTATTTACTGTATGGTTTTTAGATTTTACTAAGACGTCCTATAATTTTGTAATCAAATACATTCGATTGTCCCCATTTGTGTTCTCGTTCACTACAATGACTAAATGATAATATTGAGGGAGTATACTTAGGATGTATGTATGACAATAGGAACTGATTAATTTCAATTCTGGATATAAGCAGAAGGAAACCTCAAACTTTTAAATAACGGTTTGACAGATCGACACTAGAAACACGAACAAAATCTTTTACTCAAAAATGAATATTTCAGTTCCAGTATTTTTGTTATGGAAAGCTTCTGTTATACAATCATTTATCATAACATATTAACTTTCTTTAAAGGATAATGGTAAAAGTATACCATACTGACAACCTTGAACAAATTTTCACTCAGTAAGGAAACGCTCACTAGTCATAAAACAATTAACATGACAAGGAAATAAAGATCAATAATAATGAATAATCAACACTCATATGTCAAATTATCACTTGTAGTTCACAGAAAACGTCTTGTTTACATACATAAATACATATTAGGAGTTGGGTTAGTATTGTGATTCGGGGTTATCACCTTATAGACTTTTCGTCACCAACTGACATCAGTTATAATGTAGGAAGATCGGAGTTTTGAGTTAGGTTTACTAACATCGATGAGATTTTTCTTATTCATATTTCCACAATAATATTCTCTATTACCTGATTATTTGTCATTAACGGTGAAGTTTTATCATGTGTCAAACATCTAATATATTCGAGTTTATATTTGTTCTTATTCGTACTGAAAGATGCCCTATTATTTGTAAAACAGAACTTGCCATATACCAACTGGAAACATCAACACATAATCGCTTTTAATAAAGTTTTATCCAATTAAATCATCACATCAGTGTGATACAATTTTTTGTCTAACCAATTAAATTATTTAGGAAAATGTCGAAAATAGACGTAAATCAGTAATACACTAACTTATTTTTATACAGAATAATACTGTGTCCCTGTTTATTAACCTAATTATCCCTCACTATTTGTATTTTTATTTCAAATCATAAACAACTGAGATATTCTTCTAATACGACACTGAGTCTAAGTGAACTAGACAGACTAGATATTGAATACATCACAATAACTCATTGTTGATAATCCATACGCAAATAACAGAGAAAAAAGACAGGAATTCCAGAGGAGCTTTATCATGTGTAACAATGTTGAAATGATAACAGAACAACATTGTTTGTACGGAAACAAATACTACCATGGGTCATGATGACAAAAATATCAAACTGAAAGCTAGTACAATCAATCATGTAATAACATAAGTCAGTGAAAAAATGTCAATGGTAAACATCTTATGGCGAGCCTCTTTTGCACGTTAGAAATACCATTTACTAATGTAAATTAAATATTAACACTACCTGGCATATACATATATAATGTATGTAAGCCAAACATGGAACTCAATAACAATCATTTGCGAAAAAAACCAACTAACAGTCATCTTGACCTTGGCTTATTCATTATTGATTCAGACTTTAACTATTCACTGTTGAAAAGAGCCATGTAACCATCAGTATTATGATCTTGTCTTTTATCCAGTTTATCAACTAATAAATAACTATTCTAATTATCTTAATACAGACCTACCCTCAATTTCCTATTTTCTTATATGATTTTACTTAAATAGATTATCTCTGTCAATTGAGTATCTAATTTCAGTATGAAATGGAGATAGTGTGATCGAAAGTGAAGTAAATATCCTTTTTATTAATTTCATCATAGATCGATAATAAGTAATTTGATTTTTTGAGCTGAAAAATCGTTTCAGTTTTTTAAATTAAAAAATAAACATAAATTAAGTTATATCTATGATGGATAGTGACTAGCAGTGGAATCCAGGACCCGCGTTTCATCCAAGTGAATTCGAATTCACCCCACTGCACAAGCAAGTGGCTATCAGGAGTGGATAACACGATGGCGGTTGAAGCGAATGGTACTGAGTTCGAGTCCCAGAGTGAATATCAACTCTGAGATGCAAGTACATCCAGCTGACGAGTCTCAAATAGGACGAAACGCGCGTCAAACTGGACTCCACTGCTAGCCACTATCCATCATTACTTAGAAATAGCTTGTGAATTAAGGTAATATCGAGGCATACGCACAGTATGCACATATGCCAATAAGAGACTGATCAATTGCAGTCTTAAACCTCAATGGGAAGATACAAGCCAAACAATACCAAGTGAATTTAAGTTATATCTATGTATAAATCTATACCCGTTAAATAATTTAGTAACTGTAGGGACTCTACAGCTTAATGGGGGTTTACATTTTGATGTTTGAAGAGGAAGAAAGGTACTGAACTCAAGTTCAATGTATACAAATGAATACAAGGATATGGTAACATACACTATAGATCTTACTTCTTGTCAAAAACTAAGTCTAGTTTGTGTTTAATTTTAAAGATATTATGATTGTTCAATGAAAAACAGCCAAATATTATAATGATATTTAATGTAATTTAGTATCTGACCTAAATCAGTTTAATTATTTCATAGTTATTTTTTGTTTTGGTAATTAGTTTTGTTTAAGGTTGAATGAATGTCCTGGATTTTTTTTTAATTTTAAGGTGGAGTAGAATAACCGGAATAGTGCTTTATAATTATAATTATACAGCAATCATTGAAATATGAGTTGTATATGAATGATGTAATCTGAATTGTAGTTAAGTACAGAATTTAAAAAAACACTTGAATGATATTGTAGTCAATCTAATAGACTGAAGTTTGTCCACGAACTTTGAAGTGTAAAATGAATTTTCTATTTCAATCAGTTTTATATGTATTTTTCCATTCATTTAATGAGTAAATGCAAAATGTTAAAGTGTAATTTTCATCAGAAAATTCATTTCAAGCTCTTATTTTCATTACTTGTCATTTTAGGCTGCAATTTACTGACATGTTCATAGAAGATAGTTGTGGAAGACTAAATACTCTTGGAATGAAATTTTGTGTCAAAATTATTCACCAACAGAAAAATATTTGAAACTGCTGGGTACGACAGACTTAATGAACATTTCGATAACGCAATGAGAAGATGAAGTTTATAAGAATTGTGATATATTTGCGCAATACATTTTGAACAATGTGATTACACATATACTTGTTAAGAACATTTATATATGAAGATTAAAAGGTCAACTAGACAGGTTAAAGGTAAGCTAAAACAAAGGGAAAAAAATATTAAAGTACACGAAAACAAATGTGATTAGCACTCTGGATAATAAATCAGTATTACCAGGGTAAGTTTAGTGTAA